GAAGCACAGACAGCAACTATGCTAGAGCCATGCTTTCTCCTCAGCTGCTTGTCTTGGGAAGAGGGCGTTGGCTCGGGGGGACGGGTGTATCTTGTTTTCTCGCTTATGTCACTTCATCCCAGTTACCTACTGGTTATGGGACTTGGCTTTCGTTTCCCTCTCGTCTCCATGACAGAGCCCACAACTCCAGCGAAGGCCAAGGAGGTGCCCAAGAAGAAGAAGAAACCCTATGGAAAGAAGAGTGAGTGATGTTTGATTAGTGCCCTCCCGCTCGCTCGCAGGCTGGGCCCAGTTAGAGGAACCCTGTCCATGTCCTGTCAGAGCAGGAGAGAGAGGCCTTGTCTTGCTGTGGATGCCCTCACTCAGCTGTGGGTTTAACAACACAGCTTCATCTTTCTTAACTGCCCTATTACCTAAGAGAGCAGAGCTCTGTGTGCGGGAAGGATCTGTTTTGCAGTCTACTTTCTGTTGGCCAAGGTATAGATGGCGCTTGCTTCCAGGCGTGAGGTTGTGCTGCTTTCCCTGCTGTGTCTGTGGTCAGGGGGAGATTGCTGCAGCTGAAGGGTAGCTGGAGAGCAATCTTGCCTGCTTTGTGCTGAGGGAAAGAAGGCCTTAAGATGGCTGAAGAGGCCAGTAGTGGGGCTGCACCATGTTACTGTTTCATCTTGTCATTGTTGTCATCGTTGTTGCAGTAGCTGTGGCAAATCATGGGTAGAAAAACAATAAATTCCTTCCTGGGGGGTGGAGAGGAAAGGGTATGTAAAGAATTTAAAGACATTCAACCTAAATGAAAACATCAGCTAAAAATGAAAGTATTAATGCTACAATGTCCATGCCTTGCAGTCGACATGCCCATTGCCTAGGACTAGACCCGGACAGGTAAGCAAAGCTGACTCCAGACTGATTCCAACAGGACTCACTCCTCGGAAGTTAAGCACACGCTGAAGTGCCTTTAATGAAGGAGAACATGGAGGAGCATAATTTGAGATGATAACTATAGAGTTTTTCTCCAGTAGGCCATTTCTGTGGAGTAACCAGTTGGCAGCTAATGACCATGTAGCTTGCTGGTCAGTTGTGCTGGTCCCTGGCCTGTGGTTTCTCAGTGGAGCAGGGTTGCTGATTTTCCAGGGAAGAAGAAACACGCTTTTTCCCATGCTCTGTTATCTCTTTGTTAAGGAAAAAAGTTACCCATCAAAACCCGCAACATCAAGCAGACTGTCAAGAAGCCTTCTGCCACGAAAGCGAAACGAGAAGCAAAAGCTGTCAGCAAGGCTTTGCCAGAGCCATCACCTGATGAGAGTAAGGGAGTGAGTTACTCTACCCAGCAGCTGCACGCAGCTCTCGCATACACCCTGCATGCCCCCAGCCCTTCCAAGGCCTGTGCTGCCTCTTGGCCGTGTAGGCATGGGTGCCCCAGGCAGGGAGAGGAGTCCTCCTTTGCTCCTTCAGAGACAGGGAGTGGAAGAAAGCCCTTGCCTGCTTTCCCTGGGAAGGTTTGCCTCCTGAGAAGGTTTGGTGGCACCAGTACAGCTAGATAGCTTGATACTGATGATACCCCACTGAGGACCTGGCTGCCCTACTGAGCAGTCTGGTTGTGTGAGGTCAGTTTGGGAGGAGAGACAAGATGGACGTGTCAAAGGTGTGCTGTCACATCCCAGTCCCCATAAGGGCTGTCACAGTGTGTGAACACAGCCCGTTGTGCTGACCATCAGGAGATGTGGTGACCAGAAAAGCATCTGGCAGCTGGGTGACCTGCCAACCCTCATGGGTGTTGGGGAAGGGGGTTGAGTGGGGCACTTCGCACACATGGAGATGGAGCCTCATGAAGGTTTCTGTTGCTCACAGAGGTTTCATTTCTCCTGTGTGGTCCCAGGCAGGTAGAGAATGGTCCCCACACTGGTTTTTTTCCTCCCTCAGCCCTAGGAGAAGTTGTTGGGAGCAGGCAGCTGAATGCTGCCGGGGTTTAGTCTCATCCTGATTGCTGCTGTGAGTATGGATAGCTTTGTGCTGGCAAGACAGGGCTGCCTGTAGTAAGAGACCCTCAAGAAGTGGGCTGGAATCCTGGGGCGTTTTGAGCATCTGCATGAACAGATCAGGTTCTGGGGTGCTGCAGGCAGAGCGAGGCAGAATGGGCTCATTTTACTTACTTATTTTCCCCTCTCTGTTTCTTGCTAGTCATTGCCGTGCAGGTGAAAGAAGAAACCATCGACCCCTCGATAGCAGAGTTTGAAACCACAGAGCTTCCCGTTCCTGTCAGCAGCATAAAGCAGGAGGAGGTCACAGACTGATCCTGGAGCATCCCCCAGCTGCCCACAGCAGCCTGTGCTTCACCTTTCATGGCTCTTTGGGGAAGGTCCTGGCAAAGGGAAGCAGGAGACTCCAAGAGCCTTCTGGTTTTGGGGCAGACCACCCTGCAACAGCACGACTCTGCTTTCCTGGTGTGCAAGAAAATTTCCCCCAGATTTGTAATTTTAATTGCTGGGAGCCAGACTCCAGAAAGGCCACAGATGCACTGAGGAGCGTGACCAGAGAGGTTGTGTGTGCCTGGCTTTGGAGGCACCTTTCTGAGCAGGAGCTCCCAAGGGGGATGGAGGCTGCCAGAGCACAAAGGGACAGTTTGGGTTCTTGGCTGTGGCTGCAGGGGGCAAGTTGCAGTCTGAGATGATGTGTGCAGGTCACATGCCTCAGGAAATTGGCTGCCCTTGTAGGATATCAGTGCTGTGCTCCCTGGTCTGGGCCCTGGTGCCCTGGAGAAAGTCAGGACAGGACGAGTAGAAAGAGGTGAAAAAAAAGCCCAAAAGAGATGATGATGCCTCTTGAGGGAGCAAGAGACCTTTTTGAGTGTCGTCACTCCTTGCTCTTGAACCCAGAACTGCAGAGGACATGGTGCACAGTTTGAGCTTTTAATGTTTTTGGTAGTTCTACTGTAAACACAGTCTACAATCTGTATCTGAAAGCCCTGTGAATTAAACTTGAGGAAGAGTTGAAGGGTTTGTTTATTGCTTTCTGAGCCACCAAAATACCAGCTTAGGGGAGGAGAAGAGGGCTCGAAGTGTGTCAGTACAAGTCAGCAGTGGTTTGAGGTGGTTTGGGGTTTTAATTTTTTTGAGAGATGCAATAGGATTTTTCTTGCACTCACTGCTGTTGATTTGTCAGTTCTGCGTACGGGCTGAATATGACATTAGATAACTTAGAGCAAGGGATGTCACTTCCCATTTTAGGGCAAAACAGTAACATTCCTCTCTCTAGACAGGCCATCAAAGTCAAGGAGAAAAAACAGAAAGGTCAGTATGGCAAGAGCAAGGAAAACCAGTTTTAAATCTGGAGCAGGTCCCTGTGAGCTGTCTGCAGGTGAGGACGTGTGTGTCAGGGCCACTGTGGGGCAAGTGCCTCCTTGTCGAACCCTGCAGGGAAATGGTGGCTGCCCCAGACACAGCCTTGGCCACGAAATGGCTGCCTTGGCCATGCTCCCTCAAGCTTCCAGGCAGGAGCTTGTCGTGCCAAAATAGTTCCTGCTTTTCATGACCAAAAAGAATAAATGTTGGCAAGCTGTCTAGAGAGCATGGGGTAGAGACTGGGAGTAATTAACAAAATCTTCCTCTTTGTTTTCCCTTCTAAAGAGGGAAAGGGAGCCTTTAACCAGAGAGGGAAGAAAAGGCTGTGGAGCAGCAATGGAACACAGGTGGGAGACGTGGGGAGGACCTGTGTCAAAGTGGCCTCCCTGCCCACTTGCCTGTGGCTGGGGCCGCTTCTTCCCACCAACTTGTTATAGATGGCTTAATGCAGGGGCGAAGCCATTACATTCCTCTCTTGTCAAACAGCTGGGCTTGAGAGCCACCTGTCTTCGCAGGATAGTTTTCAAATGCCTTTGGCTTTCGTAGATTTAGATTAGATGTTAGGTAGATTTAGATATTAGGAAATATTCTCCCTGTGAGGGTGCTGAGGTGCTGGCCCAGGACCAACTTGTTATAGATGGCTTAATGCAGGGGCGAAGCCATTACATTCCTCTCTTGTCAAACAGCTGGGCTTGAGAGCCACCTGTCTTCGCAGGATAGTTTTCAAATGCCTTTGGCTTTCGTAGATTTAGATTAGATGTTAGGTAGATTTAGATATTAGGAAATATTCTCCCTGTGAGGGTGCTGAGGTGCTGGCCCAGGGTGCCCAGAGAAGCTGTGGCTGCCCCATCCCTGGCAGTGTTCGAGGCCAGGTTGGACACAGGGGCTTGGAGCAACCTGCTCTAGTGGAAGGTGTCCCTGCCCGTGGCAGGGAGTTGGAACTGGATGAGCTTTAAGGTCCCTTCCAAACCAAACCAGTCTGGGATTCTGTGGTCCTTTCTAGTTTTTGCTGTAGCCATTCCATGTCACATAGGGTAGTTCAGTGGCTAGAAGGGTTTGTCTTTTAAAGCCTTAGCAATATGAACAAACTCCTGACTAAAATGGAACTGGGGATCCCAGCCTGGCCTACCACGAAGAATAGGTTGGACGCATGTTTGTGACGGGATCACTTATGGGATCAGTGATCCTATTCCATTGATTGGGCCACTGATCAAATTTTGAAGAACACAGAAAGATTCCATTCTGCTTATGTTTTAATTCTGAGGAGCTGCTGGGAATTCAGGCAGAGCTTCCTGCTCTAAGACCCAAGCCAGTGCAGGATCTTGCACTGGTGCTGTTTGCAGTCCTGCTCATAAAACCAAAACCAAACTTGTGGATTCCAGCTTTTACGCCTGGCTGGAGAGAGCCTTTGGAAGAAAAAGCAAGGATATGGCTTTGTTGTTCAAGTCATCAAAGCAAGCGCTGCAAACACTGCAGAAGGTTTTTGCACCAGGTCTTTCCAGGGTCATGTTTCTCTCTGTGTCCTGCAAAACCAAACCCCATATCTTTGGCAAACGAGCATCGCTTTGGTGGCATGAGGCAAAACAACATTTGCATCCTGTTCAATACCCATGTTGCCGTGCTGAGGACAAGTCTAGAAGTCCTGTTGCATCCCGCACATGTTTCCTAAGCTCTGCTCTTCTTGAAGCCTCTGGCTGGTGATTTTCCCGATCTCTTTTTCTTGCTGGGCTTGCTTGCAGCCTTGGCCTTGTCTCCCCCAGCCTCATCTTGGCCCCAGCCAGGGCAGGTTTGGAAGGTGGGGGAAAGCTTCACCTTCAGCCCTCGGGCTTCTGTAGGGGACCCACAGGTGGCCCCTACACGGAGGTTGAGTCTGTCGATCCACCTGGAAACATGGCAGGAGATCAGGGAAAGGAATGGGATGGGGCAAAGGGAGAGGTGAAACTCTGCTTGTGACTGAGCACAGGTCACTCCAGAGCCAGGCCAGGCTGCTTGGGGTCTCACCTGGGTGACCTCTCAGTATCTGCCCACCCCAGCTTGTGGCCACTTTCCCTATGCCAGGAAAGCACAGGCTGCTTCTGTCCCTGCACACAGGCATATGCTCCGTCTCACCACCATGGGAGAAGACCCAAACCAGCCAGTGTGCCATGGGCTCCTGGTGTGGCAGGGTCTAGCTGTCCCCTGGGGCTGTTCCCTGCGCCTGGCACTCACCTGCGCAGGGGTAGGAGCTGGCAGTCGCAGTGGAAAGGCACGTCCCGCAGGTTGAGGATCTCCAGCCCTGTGAAGTTGCTCATGTTGGGGATGTTGCTCATCTTGTTGCTCTCCAGGTGGAGGCTTCGGATCTTGGGACCGAGGCCAGTGAAGGCACCAGGGGAAATCTGCAGTGAAGGGAGAGGGTGAGTCGGGGAGGTCCAGGCAGGGACAGGGGAGCAAATCTCTGTCCCCCCACTACCAATTAGCTTGGGGGTGCTGAGACCCTGTCCTCAACCTGGTGGCCCTGTGAAAGAGCCGTTTTAAACAGCAGGGACTGAATTAGCCCGACTGGTTTTGATCACATTTTAGGGCTCACTAGACCCTGTTCACTCTTCTTAGAAGGGGGTCTTAAAGTGATTCCTCAGTGCTGTTAAGATACGTGGCCCTTATGAGTGTGCTGCTAATGCCACTTTCTTGGGTGGGTTAAAATACTCAGGGTGATAGATAGTGAATGAAGAGTCCCACAGGACAGCCCATAAGAGAAGAAATACAGCTAGGGCTGGGGGAAGGGAGGGAGTTGGGGAATGGTCTGGACCCCACTGAAATTGGGTGTCTTTCAGGAGTGGAAGGGAGGCAAGGGAAGCAGGAGGCAAGGCTGAAACAAGGCAATGCTCCAGGCAAGCCTGAAGATGCTTCTCTTCCCAGCCAGGCTCTAGAGCAAACCCTGGAGCCCTGAGAGTTTGGAGACATCTGTTTGGATGCCCTTGCAGGGGCCACCAGCTCCTATAGGGCAGTGGAACAAGATGAGACCAGCGGCTGTGCCCTGCAGTGACTATGCCCCAGCCCCACACACCTGCTGCAGGCCCATGTTGTCCAGGTAGAGGTGCTGCAGGCTGGATGCCACGGGCAGGAAGGCACCGTCCCCCATGTGCTTGATGGGGTTTCGGGACAGCTTCAGCTCACTCAGGGCAGGCAGGCCCCGCAGGGTGGCCGTGGGCACCTCTGCCAGCTGGTTTCCCTCTAGATGCAGCTTCTCCAGCATCGTGGTGGGAGCCAGGGCGGCGGGAGCGATGTGCTTGATGGCGTTCCCTGTAAGGTAGAGCCAGCGCAGTCCCCCTGCCCCGGCCAGGTCACCCTCCACCAGCTCCCCAATGGCGTTGTGCTGCAGGTGGAGGGAGATGAGGTTGGGCAGGAGCTGGAAGGCGCCTGCGGGCAGGCGGGTGAAGGCGTTGTGGTCCAGGTCGAGG